CAGGCGCCTTTCCCCACCCCGAATGCAAACTGGGGCCCGCCGCCCCGAGATCTGGGGGCTGTTTTCCTTCCCCAGGGGAGGGTCCCGCTCCCTCGGCCGAGAGCTGGGGGCTCCTCCGGCCCCTTAGACCGCTCCGTCCCCCCAGTCCCGCGCTGGGGGCGAGGTCGGAGGGCGCGGCCGCGGGTGTACCCGTCCAAGAAGGGAGCTGGGCCAGCACCCGAACTAGTAGTATTGCTTTTTGGAGTTTCCAGACGCCCGAGTTCAGACTTGAACTCGACAGAGCCCCGGGGGCGGTCATCTCCGCCTCGTTTAGGGCGCAGGATGCTCCTGGCCGCTTCCGTCCGCGCCGGCTGCTCGGCGTTCGCAGCTCGACGCCCAGTCGTCCCGGCCAGACTTGAGGGGCAGTCGGACCTCACACTTCCTTTGTTTCTAGTCCGGTCTCTTCCCTCGTCGCCAGGAGGTTCCCTGCTGATCGCTCGCACCTCCGCCCCACTCCTCCAGCTTCTCTTTCTAGGAATCACTTTCCGAGACTTGTTGCTGAGTCTCCGGCTCTCGTGCTTGACACCGGTGGCACAGCTTCTTTTTAATTACCCAGTCCCCCCTCCCCGCCACCCCGGACCTTCTCCCGATGGGAGGGCTTTTCATATTTATAATACATACTAGATAGCTATCCGCGCTCCGAGAGCCGAGAGGAGAAGTTACTGGGGAAAGGCTCCCTCCCAGGGGAGAGCGCAGTGAGTGTGTGGTGGGAGCTTTAAGGGCAAGAGGACTGATGCGAACACTGGCGATGGAAGGCTGAGGTTGGGCTCCCCAGCTAAGCTGATACCTTGACTGAATAAAGAGAGCGAGAACGGGACCGGAGACCTGCAGAGGAAAGAGGATTGGGTTACTGACTGTAGTTATAAACAAGGCATCTGTGATTTTTTTTTTTTTTTCATCCACTGGGCAGCGACTGCCAGGCGCCATTCGGTGGACACCGGGGACTTGCCCTGTAATACCTGTCCAGTATCTTCGCGGACAGGTTTGTGAAATAGCCGGTGATGGGACAGGTGCAGATGTTAGCTTGAAATCATGCCCGAAAGGGCCCGAGGTCACACTGACAGTGATAAGATGGCATTCTGGAGATG